CACAGAGAGGTTAAATAGCTTGCCCATAGTCCTGATACTAGAAAGAGAATCCACTATAACCTACTATAAAACCTGGCGATCTTTTTTCAGTTCGAAGCATTTACAGTCATAAACAATCCTTAATGCCATACTACTGCCATTTCCTTAGATCTCATTATTCTTAAAAAGCTGGATATACTATTTTGCTACCACCTAGACAACTCAGAGCATTTCCCTTATTTCCCTTAAAAAAAACAACACTTGAACAAAAAAAAAAAAAAAATCGAAAGACATTTTCTGAATATTTAGCTCATAATAATTTTGCATACGCTTATCCCAGCTCCTGGAACCACAGTTCTACCACCAATCTTGGAGTAAATCACAGTGCAAAAAGATGACCATTCTTATCTTTTAAATTCATTTCCTAGGCCATCTGGCTCCATTGAAATGATGTTTGGTTTCCAAATCTAGCAAGAAAATACCCAGGTTCATTTTTTAAATTATCTTATGAAATCTGATCAAGTGTGAACATTTAATGATAGTTCTTTTCCTACCATGTAAGCCTGGTCCAGAGCTTGTTTCCTGTAGTCGAGTTCTTCCTCTAAATAACCCTTCTGTTTACTGAACAGGTCCTGAGCAATAATAAAAATAAGGGAAGGTTTGTTTTTTATCCTAACTTAAGGTATCATAATGTTAACCACTTCTGTATATAAGCTTTCAGTCACTTACATATGAAAGTAGCAGAAAATCTTAAGCCAAGGATCATATATATTGTTAAAATAATTGAATCATTATAATTATTAACAGTAGTTTTAATTTTTTTTTTAAATCTTCGTATCTCACACATCTTTGATGATCTCTAAAGCTGCACACAACTTTAGGGAAAATTCCTGCCTTTACCCAAGGGAGGGACACACAAAGGCTGAGGACAAAGGTGAAACATATCTGTTGTGTGTGTATTATGAGAAACATTACCTGCACAAGGCACAAATCATGATGCTGAATGCACACGTGCCCTAAAACAGGTCAGGCTGTAGTCTTTAATTTGTCTACTGGCTGGCATGTCCTTTAGGCAGCAAAACCTCTGTCTACTGTGTGGGAGAGGTGAGAGAGAAAACAGTAGCTCATGTGGAGTACAGGATCCCATCTCAGAGCAAGATATAGATCCTGTCTCATTGCTAGCACCGGGTAGAAAGGGACCCTATGCTCACCAGCTTTCAGGTACATTTCTTTGGCAGAAGGGAGATTTGGCTCTAAGCTTTGCAGGAGCCCTTCAGAGAAGATGGGTAAGCTGAAGCCCAGCAAGGTTAAGTGACTTTACCCAAGTAGTTGCAGAAGCTGGCAATAAACCTTTCACTGTACTTTGCTGTAGCACCTTTGTTTCTGAAGAACTGGACAGTTGTTTATTGGCTGCTTGTGTATTAATCAGGGATCATTGCAACCATCACTGAAACAAATTAGGATTTTATAGCACTCAACATCCAAAAAAAAAAAAAAAAAAAAA